AAATAACAATAAAATAAGCAAAATTTATTAACCCAAACAAATTACCAAATCACACCTGTTAGAATCGACCAAATAGAATAATAATAAAAACAAACAAAAAAAAAACAAACAAAAAAAAACAACGAACCCAAATAAATAAAGTAAATAATAAACAAATTAGCAAAGCATTATGACCAAAATATTAGACTATAAAAATCAAACCAAAAAATCGGACGAAAAAATAGCTATAAGTGTTATATAACGATGAAAAAAATACTACGTTACTTAAAAATCGAAAACCGAAAAGAGAAAATAAATAATTACAAGTAAAATAAATTGACCTAAATTCATCCAAATAAATAAATAAATAAACCAATCCCGATAAACTAACCGTTAGAAAAAACAAATAAAGATAATCAATCCAAATAAATACAAATTAAAAACTGTTCCCGCCAAAATAATAGTTTGAAAAAAAACTACAACAATCAACCCCAAAATTGAATAAATAGTTTAAGTTCTCAAACCAAAACAAAACTATTAAATAAGAGATATAAATAAATTTTTACTACGTTAATAAAAACACCGATTAAAAAAAAATATATAAGATAAGAAATAAAAAAAATAAAAATAAAAAAAAACAAGCAAAATAATTTAACCCAAATAAATAAATAAACAAATAAACGAATTCCGGTAAAATAACCGCCAAAATAGACTACCCACAATGCACCACTGACCCGTATATATATAAATAGCTGAGAAAAATAACAGCACTCGCGGCCTGACGATTGCATATAGCATGAAACAGACTGTCGCCTCTAAGTGTTGACTACTATGTTCACTTTTATATTTACACACGCTCTATCTCTGATATTGAGCACTTTATCCCATAAATATAGCACATCTTAAGACTATATATATATATATATATGTATATATATATCTGTCTATATTTCTGAGATGAGCTATTATGTACATTATTTTCATTATTCAGACTATTGTCCTGATCTTTGTCGACATATTAATTACAACGTTTCGGCTGTTGTACGCTTGAAATGTCGAACTGAAACCTTTATTTCGCTCACTGTTCTAGTTACACGTGCCACGTTTAATGGATATCAGTTATCTCCTGTTAATTTCCCTCTGAAAGTTCTCCACTGCCTTAACCGGGTATTGAACTCACACTCTTTGGATCCTGTCACTGGATCTAACTAACTCCTTTATCCACTGTGCCATGTGTCCTCAATTTACTGATAACTGACATCCATTAAACATGGCACGTGGAACTAGAACAGTCTACCCCAGTGAGTGAAATAAAGGGTTCAGTTCGACATTCCAACCACCTGAAGAAGGCCGGAGCGTACAACGGCCGGAACGTTTTAATAAATATGGCGACAAAGATGAGGACAATAGTCCGAATAATATATATATATATATATATATATATATATATATATATATATATATATATATATACTAAAATATCTAAAAACGTAAGTATTTCTTCCTTCTTTACGACATTGCTCTCTTTTTTGAAGCTGACTGGACGTGTTACCGAAGCTGTTAATAAGTCTCTTTATTTTGTATCATTACTTCTACAAGGAGAATTACTTGTAGGTAAACATACAGTGTATTTTTGTTGCAATTTGGCACAAACGATTACCACCGTGATATTACTCCGTCTATAAGTAAGAATTCGTTATCATTTCTTTCTTTCTTTCGCTTTAAATGCTAATAGTTGCTCTTATAGTTATTCGACCTTCCATTTTTCGAAAACAGTCGAACTTGAAATCCCGTCAAAAATTAGAAAAATGAGAGAAAATAAATATACTTTTTAATAAATAATAAGAACGTCTATTCAAATACGAGTATCCATTGAAAATAACGTTTAATTAATAAAAATCCGTCAGATTAATAAAAAAAAGAATCCCTTTCATTAGAAATTGCTTTGTTTACCTTAGGATACGGAACTGAGAAAAAATCTCTTTTTAAATGCATTATTTAACCTTGCTTGATCATCGACGCACACTGTAGCCGAGATGTCAAAGCACTCTTTTCACGCTGACTTTTCTATATCAACTCTTCTTTTTTTGTTGTTTTCCTTGTAAAATAGTGGTTTTCTGCTGCCTTCTCCTGAGATTTGAAAGCAAATTTGGGCTTCTCAAAGAATGGCAATCATCTCGTCTGTGCTGAAATTTAATTCATAGCATGATAGGAGAAGCAATGAATTTATGTCTTCCCAAAGAGCATTTGTGCGAAACTGAATGCAACACATAAACCTGGAATATGAACTCAGCAGGCCGCTTCTACCTTCCACGATGCCACCCGTAAATCTGCGCTGATATATGTGCAATTATTAGAGTGAGCCCAAATGTTGACGTATTTGTTTAATAAAGATACCGCCTCTTGGATGGAAATGTATAATGAAATGTCAATTCTGAAAATGGAAGGTGCCTCAGCCAATTATAGAAACGCACAGTTCGTGAAAGTCGTGAATCATTACGATCACAAACGTCCTGGCAGAGAGGCCTTTAAAATATGTACACCTTTAACATTTCTTTCTTTTTCTATCGTTATTCATTTAACATTCTTCCTAATAACATTATAATCAATGTCAGATTTGGGTGTCTTTCTTCTTCAACAGCTCATCTTTGCCATTGTTTTTACCCTCTTTTTTTGTAATATCGGCTGCCGCACCCATTTTGTTTTCCCATTTCTTCTGTAATATCACCTACCTCTTCCATTTGCTTTCTTTCTCTTCTTCTGCAATATCGGCTGCCTCTCCCATTTTGTTTTTCCTTTTCTTCTGTAATATCACCTATTTCTTTTCTTGTTCTGCAATATCGGCTGCCTTCCCATTTTGTTTTTCGAAATCTTGTAATTTTACCCCTTCCATTTGCTTTCTTTCTCTTCTTCTGCAATATCGGCTGCCTATCCCATTTTGTTTTTCCTTTTCTTCTGTAATATCGTATACCCCTTCCATTTTCTTTCTTTCTCTTCTTCTGCAATATCGGCTGCCTCTCCCATTTTGTTTTCCCATTTCTTCTGTAATATCACTTACCTCTTCCATTTGCTTTCTTTCTCTTCTGCAATATCGACTGCCTCTCCCATTTTGTTTTTCCTTTTCTTCTGTAATATCGGATCTTTCTTCTATTTGTTTCCTTTCTCCTGCAATATCGCCAGCTTTTACCATTTTCTTTCTCTCTCTTCTGCAATATCGGTGTACTCTTCCATTTTCTTCTTCCTCCCTTAAGAAATATCAGGGCTTTCACATTTTCGTTCTCGCTCCTCTTTTGTTATATTAGCTTCCATTTTTTCCTTCTTCTATGATATCAGTTCCTCCTCCAATTTTATTCTTTCCATATTTTCAATATCAGCTCTATCTCCCATTTTCTTTCTCTCCTCGTCTCATCTCTTCTTTCTTTCTTTTTCTTAGGCATTTCTCTTTCTGTAGTTCTCCCCCGCCTTCATTTTCCTGTTATGCCTCTCTTTCTTCTTTTCCCTTTTCAATTCTACTTCTCTCTCTTTTCATCCTTTTTTTTATTACATTTCCTCCCTTTTGTTTTTACTTCATTTTCCTCAATCTTTCTTTTTCATTCTCCTCTCCTACTTGTAAACATTGCACTTAATCTTTCTTCTTCCAAATTCTTCCTCTATCCTACCGCACTTCTCTCTCATACTTCGTCCTCTTCTTTTTCTTCCTCTTCTATATTACCGTACTGCCCCCTCATTGACACTTCTACTTTTTCTGCTTCAACCTTCTTCCTCTAACTTACCATATTGCTCTCTCATTTACACGTCTTCTTCTTCTTCTTCTTCTTCTTCTTCTTCTTCTTCTTCTTCTTCTTCTTCTTCTTCTTCAACCTCCCTCCTCCTTAATGCTCCCTCATTTATTCTTTTTGCTTTTCTTCTTCTTCCGTGATCTTCCTCTAACTTACCATATTGCTCTCTCATTTACACGTCTTCTTCTTCTTCTTCCGTCTTCTTCTTCTTCTTCTTCTTCTTCTTCCGCCTTCCTGCTGCTTACGATTCTGCTCCCTCATTTTTACGTTTCCTCCTTCTTCTTTCACCTTCCTCTTCTATTTTACTGTACTTCTGTCTCAACTCTTCTTTGTCTTCTCCTACTCCCTTTTCTTCTTCTTCTTCTTCGTCTTCTCCTACTCCCTTTTCTTCTTCTTCTTCTTCTTCTTCTTCTTCTTCCACCTTCCTCCTCTATCTAACCGTAATGCTCCCTCATTTACACTTCTTCTTAAATCTTTTTCTAAAAATGAACTCTTTTTTTCTTTATCCTTTTAATTTAGAAAATTAATTAAATTTCTTCGCTTCGTCTTTTTATTCCCGCCTCCGCCCCCTTTGTCTCTTTTGAATTTACTTCGCTTGTCATCAACTTCTTTTCTTAACAACGGTTCTTTTCCCTCTTTTCAAGCTTTCGTAACTTCGACCTTTTCCTTTCCTTATTTTCCAAAATTCCACCCAATATTTAATGCTTTCTCCTCTTTTCCTTCCTTCCTTCCTTCCTTCCTTCCTTCCTTCCTTCCTTCCTATTCAAATCTCACACTGGAATTGCGCTAAATCGCATTAATAAAATTACAACAACACAAAGAAATCACTCGTTAACCAATATGACATGAGTAGAGCAGGAAAAATGAATGAAACCTAGGTAAAAGAAAACATACTAACATATCATCAACTGCTGACAATGTGAAAGGAGACTTTAACCAGAAATATTTTGCTATGGCATCTGGCGACAGTGTGATTAAAATGAAGAATGAGATGGCCGGCATAAAATTAATTCTAATTTTACATTGAGAAACGGACAATCACGAATGGGAGACGAGCAAAAGTAAAAGCGAAATAATTATTTGCATTGATTTGAGCGCATTGAAGTTTCGTTTCAATGAGGAATCGGGCGAATCTTTCCAGATAAATTCGGTGGTCAAAAAATAGAGCGTGATAAAAAGTCATCAAGATTCTGAAGGAAAAGAGAGAATAGTCGCTTGTATTTTGATAGTTTATTATATTTATCACAACAAGGTGAAGAATTTGAAAGAAGAAGAAGAAGAAGAAGAATTCGAAGGAAGGAGAAGAGCAAGAAGAAGGAGAAGAAGATTTCGAAAGAAGAAGACAAAGAAGAAGAATTGGAAAGAAGAAGAAGAATTCGAAGAATTCGAAGGGGGAATAAAAGAATAATTCGAAGAGGAATTCGTAGGAAGAAGAAGGAGGAGGAGGAGGGGGAGAAAAAGAAGAATTTGAAGGAAGAAGAAAAGAAGAGTTCGAAGGAAGAAGAAAAAGAGAATAAGATGAAATCGAAAGAAAGAAGAATTCGATGAAGAAGAAGAGAATAAAATGAATACGAAGGAAGAAGAAAAGAAAAATTCGAAAGAAGAAGAAGAAGAAGAAGAAGAAAAGAAGAAGAAGAAGAAGAAGAAAAGAAAGAAAAGAAGAAGAAGAAGAAAAGAAAAGAAGAAGAAGAAAAGAAAAGAAAAGAAGAAGAAGATGAAGAAGAAGAAGAAAAGAAAAGAAGAAGAAGAAGAAGAAGAAGAAGAAGAAAAGAAAAGGAGAAGAAGAAGAAGAAGAAAAGAAAAGAAGAAGAAGAAGAAAAGAAAAGAAGAAGGAGAAGAAGAAGAAGAAGAAGAAGAAAAGAAAAGAAGAAGAAGAAGAAGAAGAAAAGAAAAGAAGAAGAAGAAAAGAAAAGAAGAAGAAGAAGAAGAAAAAGAAAAGAAAAGAAGAAGAAGAAGAAGAAGAAGAAAAGAAAAGGAGAAGAAGAAGAAAAGAAAAGAAAAAGAAGAAGAAAAGAAAAGAAGAAGAAGAAAAGAAAAGAAGAAGGATTCAAAAGAAGAAGAAAAGAGGAATTCTAAGGAAGAAGAAGGAAGGGGGAAAAGCCTAAGAACTGCTGAAAATGTCAGTCATGTTTACATCAACCAAATGAAATCAACAGTGGCGAGAAAGAGATTTTTATAAATATCTTGAAGAAGAAAGAGAAAAAGAAGAGAAAAGATAAAGAAAAAGAAAAGAGTATACGGTAATTTCTTCTTTTTCTTCATCTTCATTCTTCTTCTTAAAGAAAAGAAAGGAAAAGAAAGTTAGAAAAAAAGCGGGTGATGATAAAAACACAAAGAAGAAAAAGAAGAGATAAACAGAAGTAGAGCGAGGTGTAGTTAAACGAAAGAAAATTAGTATAAGAGGATGATGAAAAATACGAAAAAATGGAAGAAAAGGGCTATAATTATAGAGGAAGAAACAGAAGCAGAAGAAGAAGAAGAAAAAAGAAGAGAAGAAGAAGAAACGGAAGAAAAAGAAGAAGAGGGAGAAGAAGAAACAGAAGAAAAAGAAGAGGAGGAGGAGAAAAAGAAGAAGAAGAGGAAGAAGAAACAAAAGAAGAGGAAGAGGAGAAAAAGAAGAAGAAACAGAACGAACAGAAGAAGTAAAAGAAGAAGAAGGAACAGAAGAAGAAAAGAAGGAACAGAAGAAGAAAAAGAAGAAGAAACAGAAGAAGAAGGAGAAACATAGGAAGAAGAAGAAGAAGAAGAAGAAAAGAAGAAGAAGAAGAAGAAGAAGTAGTAGTTTTTGTATGAGGCAAAAGAGTTGATGATGATTGTATCAAGCAGCAAGTCAAAAGAAATATTCAATTATGTTGATGATGTTGAACAAAAGATAGACGGGCATTTTTCGCGGGAAGAGAACACGAAAACACGGAGCCAAATGTCAGAAAAAAAGTGTTGTTAGGATGTGTAATGACTTAAAAGAGAAAAAAAAAGCATGAATTTTTCCTCAGTAATTTTTTTAAAAGAATAGGTCAAAGTAACAGATGGAAATAAAAAGTTAAGAAGAAAGGGAAAAATGAAAAGCGTCGAATGTTAGAAAAAATCGAAAAAAACCCCAACAAAAACAACAGCAAAAAAAAACAAAAAAAAACACGAAAGTATATGAAAGGAGAGAAAAATAGAAGAAACATCAGTTAAAAATTTGCATGATTTAGATTCTTTTTAATGTTCAGTGAAGAATAAAAATGAAAAGCAGTCAAGGAGGCGAAAATGAACAGAAGAATCGTAAAAAAAATGTTGGAAGTGAATAAAATCAAGAAATAAGCAAAAAGAATGTTTGTTTATTTTTAAATCGAAAGTAAAAAAAGGGGGGAAAAGTGGTTTTGACAGAAAAGGATCCAGAACAAAAGACAGAAATGAAATTTGAACTGAAAAGACCAAACAAGAATTTCTTTTTAAGTTGGTACAAGGAAGAATACTTAGTCGGAATTAAAGGTTGCTGAACGACTTCTTGAAACAAGAAGGAAATCTTGAAACAAGGAAAAGAGTGAGTAGGCACGAGAGATTAGGAAAATAATTCTAGAAACAATATAAACATTGAAAAGCAGATTAAAATTCTGGAAAAGAAAACTGTGTCAAAATAAAGTCGGCGAGAAAGGTAAACCTGAAAGAAGCAAATAAAAGACAAAATCGAACTGAAGAAAAACAAAAGAAAAAAAAAAAAAAAAAAAAGGCAAGTGAAAGCAAAATTTGTGATTACTTAAACAAATTCTGGAACCGCGAGATTTATGGACAAGCATCAAATGGTTTAGTAAGAATTTAAGAGCTGACACCACAGTGAAAAAAAACCAAAAAAAAAAAAAAAAACCAAAACGCCAGATTTGACATGAAATATTGCCTTTTCAGTCGTACCTGATTTAAATTCTTTATCAAGTGTTAACACTGCATTGCATTCAGTAGAGCAAAAAGAATCTTCATATATATCGTCATCCACAGACAGTGTGTCACTCTGTATCACAGCTCACCAGTACAGATAGGCATGCTATTGCTTTAAGTCAGAAACAAAACCCGACCGATTTGACACCAGTTAGAGAAACTCACTCTTAGGCCATCAGCACACGTTATGGTGAAAGGAGATTTTTAACGCATTATATACGAGATATAAGCATTACCGACTATGAGAGGGCTCTATTCATAGCGAAGAGCTTTATATATATATATATATATATATATATATATATATATATAACTTTACTTTATTGATGACAGTAATAATAATAATAATAATTATTATTATTATTAATTTGAAGATTTGAGATGCTTCAATGTATCTATTTTAAGTCTGATCACCACCACCCTTAACCTTTATTTTGACTAGTTCAGCCCCTAAAAAAATCATGTCTAGATCACCCTATCGGCTCATGTCCTTTCTTTCCCCCCCTCTCTCACTCTCTCCTCTCTTTTCCTAACCCCTCTTTTCCAACTCTCTCTCTCTTTCTCTCTTCCCCACACAATTTTCAAAAACCTTATATTGAAATTTTGACTTTGTCTTTATTCCTATATTAACTTAAAATTTTTTACTTCCCGTTTTTTCCTCTCCTTTTTACTTTCCTCCGGATAAATTGATTCCATTTATTAAAAAAAAAATTTTAAGTATCGCCTGTACACACACACACACACACACACACACATATATATATATATATATATATATATATATATATATATATATATATATATATATATATATATATATATATATATAGACGATACTTAAAAATCGATCCGATTATAATTTATTTCATGAATATACAAATATTCATTTTTTCAGACCAAAGCTATTTTTTTAATAAATGGAATCAATTTATCCGGATATATATATACACAAACATATGGTTACAAGTTCATGAGAAGAAATTCAAAAAACGTTCCCATGTTTAGCGATTTGGCATGATTTCAGTACCTCTTGGTATATAATATGTCTCATCGCGATATCAGGCTCAAACATCGTTCACCGAAGTTAAGCAACGTCATACCTGGCCAGTACTTAGAGGGGTGACCATTTAGTGAAAATCAGGTGCTGTATGTTTGTATGTGCGTGTGGTGTAATAGATAACGGCTCGAATTTGGAAATCAGAGAGCCGAGATCCAATTCCTGTTGCGTTCGTTGTATTTCCTAAACGCCCAAATACCCTTCGGGAAGAAAGGATTTCACCTCTTCTCCCCATCCCACCACTAGCTATGGGTTAATTAGGGGGACTCGTGTAAGTAAAAATCTTTATTATCTCCAAAATATTATTACACTCCAAAAATATTTTATGGCAGTTTTTTTCAAATAACCAGCAAAAGGGGGATAAACCGTAAAAAACGCAGTCAACCGTATATAATACGGTTCAAGCTACTAATCGAATTTCACACTGTATATCGATTTATTAATTGTAGCTTAGATGTGATACAGGTCCGAAATTAGGTAGCATCTAATGCGGATCGAACTCACTATTCAGTCGTATATATATATATATATATATATATATATATATATATATTGTTTATACGTTATTTTTATGGATCGAAATATTTAAGCAAATGCTTTGTTTATAATAAACAATATTAACAGCATTTACGGCTTGAATGCCTAAAGAAATCTCAATGAAAATATGTGTCCTCCGACAGGAATAGAAATCATGGGAGGCTTCTAGTTTAAAAACAGTAATTTAACCCGGCAAATCAGGCGCTTCCTCTGGAGCTAAATGGTATAGCACGTCAGTCTATATTGACGGTTCCGTGAAGGATATAGGTTCGATTCCTGTTGGAGGAAAGAAAAATTTATGTAAATAATTGTCGGACTTAGTTCATTTCATAGTGTGTGTTTGTTTTGAACAAGAAATATCATTTGGATTATGTTAATATTTTTTGTTTTATTATTTCAGTTAGGTTCCTCGACTAGTTTTGGCCAGTATGGGCATCATCAGGAGAAAAAACACCCTGCTTGTTAGTAGTTGTTAGTATATATATATATATATATATATATATATATATTGCTGTACGGTGTGGCGTTGAAGTAGAGGCCTGAAAATTAGTACTTATCTGTTATATACGGTTGATTGATTTGTTTTTTACAGTTTAAAAATATTTAGATTGAAGTATCGTTTAAATTAAATAAATAAAAAAAAATTATATATATATATATATATATATATATATATATATATATATATATATATATATATATATATATATATGTGTGTGTATGTGTGTATGACGTCATATATTATGAAGTGGACAAAGTCCGACAATAATTTAAGATAATTTTTATGTTTACACGTTCTTTTTATAGATACAAATATTTAAGTAAATGCTCTGTTTATAATGAACAGTATTAACAACATTTACCGGGTTGAATGTCCGAGAAATTTTCTTAGAAAAAATTCCTGTAGGAGGACGCATATTTCACGGATATTCAGGCCGGTAAATGTTGTTAATACTGTTTATTATAAACAGAGCATTTACTTAAATATTTGTATCTATAAAAAAAAAATAAAAACCTAAAAATGTCTTATATATATATATATATATATATATATATATATATATATATAGTGTATGGAAAACTAGGTAATCCGTATGGGTAGACCCAAGAAGATACTAATATATATATATATATATATATATATATATACTAATAATGTAAATATCAATATATATATATATATATATATATATATATATATATATATATATATATATATATATATATATATAAAACAAAGAATAACCTTTCAGTTGTACACAGTCCGACCACTATTAAAATCCATCGTCTTGAGCACTTTTCTTTCTGGTATGAATAGACGGCAGACTCTTTTTAAGAACTGCTTATTTCATGGTCTTAGTAATACATTGGTTGAGCAAGTTTCTTTTCTTTCTTACCATGCACATACTAGACTATTGCAGAGGTAAATGTCACCTGGAAAGGACATATTCCCCAATGACGAACTCTATGGGAAGCTACCAAAAATTATGGACGCAGTCTTTGAAAGTTGAATGTTGATTTACTGGCCATCACTTGAGAAATAAGAAGTTGCACATCAGCTTAAACGATGGGATCAAAATGATGCGGGAAGGTCAAGAGATGGACTGGCAAGAATCGTCATTCATCAACTCGAAGATGACTGGGTAGAGCTTGAGATGCCTGGAAGGAAAGTGGCCAAAGGAATGCATTTCAAAACGATCGGATAGAAGATAGATAGACAGATAGATTATTACTGCACAGTCGAGTGTAA